AAGAGAATTCTTGGGGTGGGATGTAGCTGTGTGTGGCTGTATCTTATTTACTCCTCACTGTTGGGAGCTGTGTGTATATTAATATCCCCAGGAAACTGAGGCTCAGAGAGGCTAAGTAACTTTTCTTTATTTTTTACACCTACAGTACCTGGTCTTCCTAGGTGGTCTCCCATCCAAGTACTAACCAGGCCCGACCCTGCCTTTCTGAGATCAGATGGAATCGGGCTTGTTCAGGGTAGCATGGCCGTACACTAAGGAACTTTTCCAAAGTAACACAGAAGGTATTTGAGAGCCCTGGGATTTGCAACCCAGTCTAACGTCCAAGCCCAGGCCTTCTTCACTCTGATGCACTGGTCTCCACTCTCCTCTTGAGCTGGGCAAATCCTGGTTAGACCTCTGCAGAGGGTGCAAGAGAAGTGGAGATGCTCAAGGTTTTCTGAAGAGATGAATATTTAGGCTAGCATGCGCTAAGAGAAGTTGGGGTGACAAGGAGGGGACCATGTTGCTGGTGCTGGCTGTCCAGCCTTCCACTGCCCTTCCTAGCCAGGCCTCAGGGCATCTGGGGGTGTTGAAGACCAGAGACTGATGTGGGGGAGGAGGGCAAGTAACCAGAGGGGAGACAGCTTAGAGAAATAGAGGGAGGGGCAGTAGAGAGAAGCTATAAAAAACTTGTATTTGCAAATACTCATCTGATGGGAAAGGGACTGTTGGCTATGCTCTTGTTCCAGAAAGCATTTCCAGAAGACCTACCTCTTCAGAACATGCCTTCGGGTGTCTGCAGTTTGTTCTTTCCTTCCCTCCTTAACTCGTTCATTCAGGCAGGCAGTGAATCAACACCGACCGAGTATCTGACTGCCAGGGGTGAACAGTCTATATCTCAGATGGGGCATCAATGGTAGCTAATAATTTTTATTTGGGGCAGATTCCATTTGGGGAGATAGACAAATGGCATTCACAACCAAGTCTGATGCTGTCGCCTTGGATAGGGCGGCACCCCTGAGCTCACTGTCCAGATGTCTCTTATTCAATGGGGAGTGTTCATTTGGGTTCAACCCAGGCGTGAGTCAAACATCGGCCCTGCAGACCTGGTGCCAGGAGGAGCTGCAGATTTGCCTGGCCTGGTGGCAGCAGAACTTGGAAGGGGGAGGACTTGGGGTCACTCTTATCAGTTAGGGAAGCTCTGGGACATCTTTGTCTCACTGTACTGGTGCTCTGTGTACAGGAGTAGGTGAGATCCAGCTCGGAAGAGGAAAAAAGTCAGATTTTTATATAAAAACCCAGAAGGAGATGGAGCTGTTAACTGAAACAGCTCAGTAAACATATTCTTTGTAGATTAGCACCACACACAAAAGAGAGGAGAAGAGAGAGAAGAAAAGAGAAAAGTGAGAGAGAAGATAAGAGTACAAAGCGGGTAGATGAAGAGCAGAAAAGCTTTTGAAAGCGCTGGGGGAACAGAGCTGGAGGGAGGCCTGGGGCTTGCCCCAGGAGCCGGGGCCCACCCTTGGCTAAGGCTGGGAGGTCACGGTTCCCTGCATGAGGCTGCAGCAAGAGTAAAGCTACACAACAAGCTAGAGCCAGGCTTTAGACATCAGGGCAGCAGGGGAAACGTGAGGGGAAACTGCAGTATCTCCCAACGAAACGACATGATATCTGGGATATGTTTCAATAGAACTCGTGAGTCGATGTATGTTGACACTAGGTGGTGGGGCGCATGGGAGTTCTTTATGGAAATATCTGCACTTTTTATTAAGTTTGAGATAAAAGGTTTATAATAGTAAAAAGTCTTTTAAAAATCAGGGAGCTATGAAGGAATTATATACTGCAGGGAGAATAATAACAGAGGAATATAAGCCATAGAACATAAGCAGAAATTAATGAGAATTGTGTCTTGGGTTTTTTTAAATAATGCTGTAGACCAAGGGTTCTTAACCAGGGGGTGATGGATGAGCTGCAGGATCCCCAATCTCCTTGTAATCATGTGCAAAGTGACCCGATAGTTTTCAGCAAGTTTTCAAAGAATCTGTGACTTTCCCCTGGAGGTTAATAAATTGAGTTCTCTCTTAAACGTACTATGCATATATTAGTTACTTTGGTGTGCGGTTTTTAAATAGAGGGTTTGTTTTCTAGAACTGACATATTCACATCTAGGTCCTACGTTTTCATCCTTTCTCTCAGTCAATTATGCCTTGAACAGAGCAGAACTGGCTGGCCTGCTTTGAAGCCCAAGTCCCTGGGGGCAGCTCTAGGGCCCCAATGCCCCTGAGCCACCAACAGTGCAGCGGGGGAGGGGCTGTGCCAGAGCGAAGAGTACCCGGTGGGGAGGCGGAGACGAGGGAACAGGAGCTGTCTGGGGAGGCTCCCTAGGGTCTGAAAGAGTGACAGGAGGAAGAGTTGTTGAATTTTGTCATCCTCTGGCAGACTCACTGGCTTTTAGTTACAAATGTCCAACAGAAGTCACAGTTTTGAATAGTCTGAGGCTGAAAACCCAAAGAATTCCTTAGAAAACACCTTTCCGTTCCTCATACGGTAGCATAACACCAGTTTGACCTCTAGCAATTTGTGGCGAATTCTTCTGAGAAGTCCAGGGACCCACTAGCTCCCCAGAAACGGGCAGAGCAGGCTGTCACCTGGGCTTGCAGCCTGGAGGTCAGGGAGGTGTGGGTTCGTTTAGAGGACAGTGAGGCTCTCATCTGGGAACCATCTCCACATTCAAGTCGAGGCCTGAAGGCCTGTCCCAGTTCCTGACCTGCCTTTTCTCCCCAGGGTCTGGTATTGCTCTGTAGCTAGGACTCTGAGCTCTGCTCTCTACCACTCCCCTTCAGAGAAGACAGGTGAGGGCCGAAGCCATTCCCCACTCTCCCATAGGAGGGGTACACAGACAGACAGACAAAGACCTTTGTCTCCCTGACCAGGCATCTGAAACCATTCAGATGCCCATCCCTTATACAGAGAGAAATGGAGACCCAAGGTGGGAGTCTGTCCATTCCTAGAACAGGCTGCAGGGCTGCAGGCTGGGGGCCAGGGTTCGGGGGATGGGATAGCATTGAGAAAAAGGTCTGTCCCGGAGGGGCCTGATGCAGGCTTGTGGCTGGTGTGCATCCACCTGGGCTCTCACCTCAGAATAAGCTGCCCACTCCTCTCCTCCTCCCCCACCCCAAGTCCTGGTTCATGCCTTTCCTCATTCAGAACCCTCATCCTGTAATACTTTCCTTCTCAAACCTCCTTTGGCATTCAGGGTTTGGACATCTCTTTCTCTGTGTCATGATGGAGAGATGAGCAACACCCCAGGGATCTCTTCTCTCTACACCCCACTCCCACCAGGACCCTGACTCTGAAGGCACCATCCAGAATCCTGAGTTTCCTCCATCCAGACAAACTGTGCGGGAAGGAGCAAAATGCTCAGTGGCAAATTGTGAGTTGTGTCCTCATTGTTCTTTATTGTGGTCCCTGCCTCCACTGCCTCCTTCCCTAATTCCTCACAGCATTTTGACCCACCCTAACTCAGGTCAGATGGCCTCGGTTTCCTCCTACCAGGGTGGAGGGGGGACTTTCTGTTGTGCTTGGGCACTGTAGCTACCCCTGCCCAGGAACCAAAAGAATGGGTTTGCAATGGAGACTTTCAGAGACACATACCAGTCGAGAGAAATTTTTCTAATTGTGGAACAAGACCTCCTTTTATTGCTCCCATCACTTCCCAGAAAGCACTGCACACTGCTTAGGCTCTAAATGAGGGCCGCAGACAGATTCTACGCAGAGAAGGACCAAAGCTACTTCCACGGCCAGCCTTGGGGCTATGAGACACCGCTAGCCTGATTCTAGGAAGCACAGACCACTGAAAAAGAGTCTTTTTTTTTTTTTTTTAAACTGTGCTTTATTTAGGGCTAAGCTGGAGAAAGCGTCATCCAATAGTTACAGAAGGTTACAAGGAGTTTTAGGGAGTTGAGTGTGAAAAGAGCAGTTGTACTGAACTGCAGCTGTTTGTTTTTTTTTCTTTTTTTTTTACAACATCTGGACATCCTAAAAGGAGGAGCCAAGAGGAAGAAAAAGAAAAAATTTTAAATAATAATTAACCAACAAAATAGAAAGAAAGGAAAGGCAGGAGGCCTGAGAGGAACCAGAGAGTTGTTCTTCTAAAACAAAAAAATGAAAAAGAAAAAAAAAAAAAGGTAGGTCTGAGAGACCCCTGGCCTCCAGATGATCTGGACATCAATGAGAAGGGCGTCGAGGCAGAATGCCAAAGCAAGTCTTCCCAACGGTGCAAATAAATTATAATAAATATGTTATACTTTAAAATATATGTGTTCTTAAATAATTCAGTGTTTTTTCTGATTCTGAGTTTTTTAAGCAATGTCTTTAACTGCTCTAAAGTCATTTACCAAAGATAAATATCGTGCTTTCATTAAATAGTTTTCCTTGTTTTTTTTCTCTATCATTACAATTAAAAGTCCTACAAAATATGCAAATTTATTTACAGAAAAACAGAGCCGGCATCATTTAAACATCCCTGTTTTTCAAAATTCCTTGTAAACAGTTTCAGAAATTCTTCAAAGATTGTTTATTTTTCTCTCTCTTGTTTAAGGTTTTTGTGTGTGTGTGTGTTGTTAGTTGTTTTAAGATGAAAGTTCCCAGGTCTCCCTTGCCCGGAAAGTCTCTGGAGCAAGCATGGAAGGCGAGTGAAGCGGAAGGTGTCGAGGGCTTGCGGAGAGCGGGCGAGCGCGCAGCTCCCGGAGCGAAGCGAGGCGAGGGCGGCTACGGCAGGCCTTCCTGCT